CTTCTCTTCGATGTTCTTCATGTAAATTTCTGATCCTTTTTAAATTTATCAACAGGGCACTTCTGGTGTACACCGTGCCCTGTGATTGGCTACTTGCGTGGATTCGGTGTACACCGTGCCCGGTGATTGGCTACTTGCATGGATTCGGTGTACACCCTGCCCGGTGATTGGCTACTTGCGTGGATTCGGTGTACACCGTGCCCGGTGATTGGCTACTTGCGTGGATTCGGTGTACACCGTGCCCGGTGATTGGCTACTTGCGTGGATTCGGTGGACACCGTGCCCTGTGATTGGCTACTTGCGTGGATTCGGTGGACACCGTGCCCGGTGATTGGCTAGTTGCGTGGATTTAAGCTGCAGAAACAGGCCCTTTGCTCACCTCTCCCGCAGGCCTTTATGCATAGACTCCTGACACCTTAGCATTTGCAGAGACCCAGATGTTTCTTTTCAAGGAGAAGGGACTTGTCCAAGGAGCCAGAGCTCCGTGCTGGGGCCTCGAGTCCCTGCTGGCCCTGGAGCAGACGGCTTGTGCGCCTCTGGGGCGTGTCGGCCTCCGGGCCAGGCCCGCTGCCTTTGTCTGCTCCCAAGCTGTGGGCCCTGTGTCGTCCCCCACTTACAGTTATGGAGGCCGAAGCAGGGGTGGGGGGCGGCTTTCCCAGGACCGCAGAGGCAGCAGCAGGCCATTAGGCTGGACACCGAGGTGTCTGCCGGGGACCTTGGGCCCTCTCCCTGGGCAGGAAGGCCTCTTTTGGCCTCCACAGGCCAGCGGTGACGTGGCATTGAGCACAGCGCTGTGCTTCTGCCCCCCCAGCTACCACCACCACCATGGTCTCAGAGTCCCGAGGGAGTCAGGTCTCCTTTGTCTCCAAGTCCAGGGCCAGAGGCGGACCCTGCGAATCAGTGGTGGCAGCTTCACATGTGCTGTCTCTGCCCCAAGTGCCGGGTATTGCTGAGAGCCAGAGACCTCAAAGTGCCTACTTTGCACACTTTCCCTTTGTGCATGAATCCACTTGTGTATCCACTCATTCACTTAGCTGGCCATTAATTCATACACATAGGTAATGCCTGCAGCGTGCAGATCCAGCACTGCCCAAGGGCCACCCCGGAATGCGCCAGATGCACCGTCCTGTGGAGCAGGCAGGTGGCTGAGGGAGCATGGGGCCCCGCAGGACCAGAGCAGTGTCTCCCCTTGCCTGTCCTCAGGATTGGGTGCAGAGGAGTGGTGGGTGGGGTCAGGCAGCCAGTGCACCATGGTTCTCCGTGTCTCTGACTCCAGTACCCCGGTCCTCCATGTCTCTGACTCCAGTGCACCCTGGTCCTGTGTGTCTCTGACTCTAGCACTCCGGTCCTTCGTGTCTCTGGGCTCCAGCACCCGGTCCTCCATGTCTTTGGGCTCCAGTGCACCCCGATCCCCTGTGTCTCTGACTCCAGCACCCCGGTCCTCTGTGTCTGACTCCAGCACCCCAGTCCTGTGTGTCTCTGGGCTCCAGTGCACCCTGGTCCTCCATGTCTCTGACTCCAGCACCCCGGTCCTCCGTGTCTCTGGGCTCCAGCACCCCAGTCCTGCGTGTCTCTGACTCCAGCACCCCGGTCCTGCGTGTCTCTGGGCTCCAGCACCCCAGTCCTGCGTGTCTCTGACTCCAGCACCCCGGTCCTCTATGTCTCTGGGCTCCAGCACCCCAGTCCTGCGTGTCTCTGACTCCAGCACCCCGGTCCTCTATGTCTCTGGGCTCCAGCACCCCAGTCCTGCGTGTCTCTGATTCCAGCACCCCAGTCCTCCATGTCTCTGACCCAGTGCACCCCACTCCTCTGTGACTCTGGGCTCCAGTGAGCCCCAGCCCCCTATCTCTCTGAGCTCCAGCCGCACACTCAGAGGCAGAGGTTAGCTCCTGTCTGTCCAGTCCTCCTGTGGTGATGGCCAAAAGCCCAGGCCAGGAGAGGGTCACTAGCTGGGCTAGGACCTGAGCCTAGCCTGTGCCCCAGCCCCACACACTTGGGAAGTGGCAGGGACGCGAGGAGGGGAAATCTGTGCTTTGGATGAACCACAGTCAGCCCAGAGTTTCCCGGGTCTGTCTGGTGGACCAGGCAGTTGTGGGATTTCAGGGGGGTCCGGTGATTTTCATCATCCCTGAATGTGCCGTGGTGCAGCTCCCGTCTGCCACTTGCCCCAGGGCCAGAAGCCTTCAGTCCAGGATCTGCTGGCCTGACAGAGGCCCCCGGTCCCCAGAAAAGTCCGAGCGAGGCTCCCTTCTGGACCCTGCTGGGCAGGCCCCTGGGGGGGACGTAGCAGCTGGCAGTGTACGGTGGCTGTAAAACCCCCCAGCCAGACACACAGATGGATGCTCTGCTCTTTGCCGGGGCAGGAGCGGCTATGAAGGCGAGCAAATCACACTCGGCAGCCATCACTTCAAAGGTCAGCCTTCTACTCGCAGCAGCGTGACTGGCAGGGATGGCCCGGAACACGGCTTGTTTCCCGGCCATTCGGTTTTATGGCGCCCTAATGAATGGGGCCATTTCCATCCATTCTCAGGAAAGGAACAGGACAGTGGTTTTCATTCTCCTGGAAAGTTCGCCTGGGAGGCAGGTGTATCGGTGGGCACCCAGGTCCTCGTGTCGCAGGCAGGCTGAGGGCCCCCTGCACCTTGCTCCTTCCCGGCCTTCAGGCCGCCCTCTGGGCCGTCATCACGAGGTATTTATGTGGAACCCGGGCCAGTGGCTGCCACTTCAGGGGCGCTCAGCAGGCGGCAAGGAGGGCCCTCTTCTTCCTCCATCCTTGCCCGGGTCAGCGTGTTCCCCAGGCCCCTGTGGGGCCGCCGTGCTGTGGCTGGAGGGGGGCTGCAGTGGGAAGGCCCTGCCCGGGGGCTGGGAACCGCCAGCATCCGTGAGTGCCCTGGGGGCCACTCCCATGGGCCCCCTCGTGCCCCTGCCACCAGGGACGACGGGCTGCCCAGTGCATGGGCCACTTCCAGGGACAGGAGTCGGCCCAGACTACTCTTCTCTTGGCATTTGCTGCCCCCCCCCACCCCTGGATTCCCTGCTCCTCCCCCGAATGGTGGGGATGCAGAGGGCTTTGGGAAAAGGGGAAGGAAGGTGTTGAGGACCCATGTGGCCTTGGCAAAGAGAGGCCTGGGGTGGCTGGTGGGGTGGGTGTTGAAGTGAGGGATGACTGTCACCCAAGCTGGGGTGGGAGGAGCAGGGAAGAGGTGGCTCCAGAGCTGGGATTATGGGGCACCGCTCCCTCCCCTTCCCGCTCCCTCCCAGCAAAGCCGATTCCAAACCTGGCCTTGGGGTGGTGCTGTTGTGAGTTGGGATGAGCGGATACTGGAGACCGTGAGGGTGGGCGCGCAGGCCCCCCCAGACCCCAGGCTCGCACTGGGCAGGCGGCCCCTCTGGCTGGGGGCATGGGGACTCCCTCCCTCCGTGTCCACACTCTGGGAGGCTCAGGGCTGGGGGCAGCCACGCGCCAGCTTTCTGCCGTGGGTTCAGAGGCCTGCAGGGCTGCCCTCTCCACCACTCTTGGGGCCTCAAGGGGCTCACCCTGCAGTCACCTTCCCCGGGAGCTGCTTCTGAAGAGGCTCAGAGAAGAACAGCCCTTTGTCCTCCCCCCTCCCCCAGAAAGCTGTCCCCAAATTTATGGAGGTAGGAAGTGACCAATAGGAGATTGGATTGTGAGCCCAAGGGGAGCAGCAGGGACAGGGAGAAGCCCACCACCCTGACAGTGGGGCTTGGAGCAAATCCCTGTACCTCTGAGCCTCAGTGTTCCTCATCTGGAGAATGGATCTCAGAACTGCCTGAGCTGACTTTATAGAATGCTGCACGTAACGTGAATTTGAAAGAGGATGATAAAACTTTGAAGGCTGCAAACTCCACTTTTAAAAAAAATGTCAAGACTTATTTCACAGCCAGCAGGCGCAGGGACCACAGAACCCTGTTTATGCTGTGGCCACATGGTGGCGCCCGGGGAGCTGGTAAACAGTCCCGCCGGGCCCTGCAGGAAGGCCTGAGGCCGCGTTGTACTGGCCGCTTGCTGAATGTTGCAATCTGAATATTGCAATTTAAAGTTGTGAGGTCTGTGTGTTTGTTAAGTGGAGATACCTGTTAGTCTTGATACTGGGACCCGCCCCCAACCCAGACCAGTTGCTCTGGAATGGAAGGGACTGCTAAAATGCTGTGGAGGAAACAGAACTGCTGATCCTCGATCACGTTGTTTACTGACAGGAGGCTGTGAAACGTTGGCCATGATGCTAGGAAGTAAGAAGTGTCTTTAAAGCTAATCTGCGTACTGAGGTTCTGCCTTTACGGTCTCCAAGAGCTCCGGCTTTTCCACAATATAGTTACCACTCCAGAGAGAGCAGGCTGGGGCTTTGTGGGCTATGAATTACCTGCCGTCTTTAGAAGCAAGACCCTCAGGGGCTCCCGGGTGGGTCAGTCAGTTAGGCCCCCAACTTCGGCTGAGGTCATGATCTTGTGATTCTTGAGTTCGAGCCCCACGTCGGGCTCTGTGCTGACAGCTCAGAGCCTGGAGCCTGCTTCTGTGTCTCCCTCTCTCTCTCTCTGCCCCTCCCCGGCTCGTGCTCTGTCTTTTTCTCTCTCGGAAGTAAATAAAACATTAAAAAAAAAAGAAGAAGAGGCGAGACACTGTCACAACATGTGGCCTGGTATCAACAGCCATCATTGATGTCTTTTAGGTGCCCTTGGGCAGCAGGCCCTTCCCTAAGCTCACTTTCGTCAGGCACCAGCTGCCCTGTAGGGACCAGTGTGATCAGAGAGATCACCACGCATCCCTGGGTGGCCAGTGGATGGTGACCATGCGCCACTAGATGTGGGGAGGGCCCGTGACAGGGAGGACTGACTGTGGGCAGGGGCCACGAGGCGCGGCTGTGGGAGGTATCTCCTAGCAGCCCAGCACGGCCCTCGCCAAACCTGTCTGCCGTCCGGGCTTTGGGTGGCCCTCCCCGTGGGTGCCTGCCCACCAGCCTGACCGGCGCCTGCTCTTGCAGGTGGTGAGGAGCTACAAGGCGACCATCCAGCAGACCTTGGACATCCTCTTCCTCCAGGAAGGCTCTGAGTTTTTGAGCAGCACGGATGCTTCGAGCCGGGACTCTGCTGACCGCACCATTATTGCCTGGGATTTCCGGAGCTCTGCCAAAATCTCCAACCAGATTTTCCATGTGAGAAACCCCATGTGGCATCGCTTTTCAGTTTGTGTCTGCTGCAGGACGTATCCAGGTAGCCCCAGGCGGCCGGGGGTTGCAGGTCACTTCCCGCAGGAGATGGCCCTGTGGGCAGGATATTTTGAGACCGTCCCAGTACCTGGAACGCCTGGGCAGGGGTTGGGGGGGGCGGGGAGATGAGCGCAAGTCCCAATCTGCCCGGAAAGCCTCCCAGAGGCTCCAGATCCGGCACTTCCATACCTCTCCTACGCGTCCCTTGCTTGGCATGGCACCCACAGGGGAAGGGCGTGGAGGGGCCACCTGTCCAGATCGATGGAGGACAGCCACACGACCCAAGCAGTCCTGCCTTCCCTCCGCCACCCCAGCCAGCCCACGGGTTTCTGCCCGGCCTTGGCTCAGTGCTTTTGGCAGGAGCTGTGACTTGGAAGTTCAAGCTGGGACCTGAGGTTAGACCTGGTGTTGAAGTCCTGGATTCCTGGATTCACCACTCACAAGCTGAGGACCCTGGTCCCATTATTTAGCCTTTTTGATTCTTGTTTTCTTCTTAGGAAATTGAGGATGAGAATATATTTATCTCAGAGTGGTTTTGAGAATTGAAGGAGATAATGCTTATAAAGGGTCTAGCACAGTGCCAGGCACAAGAGGTGCTCCATAAATGCATTGCCTGCCATCACCACCACCATTAGCATCTTCAGCATCACCACCATCGTCACCAGCATCACCACCACCACCATCCCCACTGTCACCACCACCACCGTCCCCACTGTCACCATCACCACCATCACCACCTCCATCACCACTGTCACCATCACCACCGTCTCCACTGTCACCACCACCACCGTCCCCACTGTCACCATCACCACCATCACCACCTCCATCACCACTGTCACCATCACCATCACCACTGTCACCATCACCATCCCCACTGTCACCATCCCCACTGTCACCATCACTACCACCACCACTGTCACCACCACCATTATCATTAGCATCGTCAGCATCACCACCATTATTAACATTGCCATTGCCACCATCACCATCACCATTGTGACCACCACCACCACCACCACCACCATCACCATCATCACCTTTTAAGATTTCAAGTAAGCCATAGCTAATCTCCTCGGTGCTCCCCCCACCAAATTTAAGAATATATATCAGGTGCACAGCTGTACCTTCTCCCCCTCCCTGCATGTCCTGTTCTCGGAGGGTTCTAAGGGGCCCCGAGCACACCAGCCTCTACGCCTTCGCTGCAGGTTCTGGCGCAGCCCGCTGGGAAGCACAGGCCCTGGGAGGGGCTGCACGGGCCTGTCGGCCACCCCGGCCTTCTGCGTCCAGCAGCCGGTGCGGAGCAGGCACACGGGGGAGGTGCACGGGGGCCGCGTGGCCGGCCACGGGCCCTCCTCCAAACCACACCACTCGCTCTGAGCGGGGAGCAGGCGCTCTGCTCGTAGAACATGCCCGGACGCTCGTTCCCGGCCAGCGCAGCCTCCAGGCCGCTGATGCAGCTGAATTCCAGCCGCCCCCGCTTGGCTCTCCAAGTTTGGGCTCTTGCAGACAGCGTGGCTTCAGGACAACACTTAGATGCAGTTGAGAAGGGAGTTTTTAGGGGTGTTTCCCTGTGATGCAGCCCGCTCGGCGGTGACAGCTCCTTGCCTTGTGGTTTGAGCACTCTGTTCCCGCCGTTATCTTCTCCCCTGGCCATGGCGTCCACAGCCAGTGGGCGCACGGGCCGCGGGGTGGGGGTGGGGGTGGGCAGGCTGGGGCTGCCCCGGGAGCTCCCTGGGGCGGCGGGAGACAGGCGTGCAGACTTGCTGCCTGTCGCTGTGTGGCCAAGTACCACAGACTTTGTGGCTTAGAAATGAGCGCATTCTCTGTTCTGGAGGCCAGATGTCTGTGACGAGTCTCCCTGGGCGGAAATCAGAGTTGTCGGGGCGCACTGCTCCTGGGGGCTCCGGGGCGAGTCTGCCCCTTCCTCCTCATGCTGGCAGCCTCAGGTCCCTGCCACCTTCTCCGTGAGGGTGCTCTCCTGCTGCCTTCCTCTTAAAGGACGCGTGTGAGTGCGCTTTAGGGTGCTAACTGGGGATGCTGTCCCGCCTCAAGATGCTTAACTTAATTCTATCTGCAGAGACACCCTGTCCGTGTTCCTGCCACAGAAGGAGACACAGGCCCCAGGCACCCACTACATGGGTGGTAGCGTGGGGGCATTTTCCCGTCCACCCCTAGGGCCATGTACCAAGGGATGCCAGGAAGGGCAGGAAAACAGATCACCCCCCAGAGCCTCCAGAAGGAATGCTGCTCGGCTGACAACCTTGATTTCAGCCCAGTGAGACCTGTGTCAGACATGTGTTTAGTTTTAAGCCACTACATTTGTGGCATTTAGTTAAGCAGCCGCAGGAACCTGGTGCAGACCTGTAAGCGTGGGCCTCGGGGTGCAAGGCTCCAGGACTGTGGTGCTGGGGGATGTGTCTGGGGGGCAGAAGGCCAGCGGGGAGCTTTTCCCAGCCTCCCCTTGGCCTGTTTCTCAGGAGAGGTACACGTGCCCCAGCCTGGCCTTGCACCCGCGGGAGCCGGTGTTCCTTGCACAGACCAACGGCAACTACCTGGCCCTTTTCTCCGCCGTGCGGCCATACCGGATGAGCAGACGGCGGCGCTACGAGGGGCACGAGGTACCCTGCCCACCCCACTTGCCCTCCCCCCCGGGGCCCCCCCCCCGGTCCCCGTGGAGCTCCGGCCCCAGAGCCTCCCCACAGACAGCAGCAGCCATGGACGGGGCGGGGGGTGCGGCGCAGACTGCACAGACCCTCTTTCTGGGAGGATTCTGTTTTCTGTTTCCCGGGTGGCCACATGCCACGTGGCCGGTGGTCACCAAAGGCCCTGGGCCACATCGGACCCTGCCTCTAGCCCCCGGGGCCGGGAAGGAAAGGTTTTCCCTCACTTGTTGGCTCGCAGGGGTGTGTCATGGGGGTGAGGGAGGGCAGACAGGACAGAACAGGGGTGGGGGCCGGTCTGCATCTGTCCCCTTTCCCCACTGAGGCCCGCCCCACGGGGGCAGAAGGGGCCGAGGACTCGGTGGCTGTCGGCGAGGCCAGGCACCATCAACTGTGCCACGGCTTCGGGAGACAAGACCCACCCTAGGACCAGCCTTCTGCACGGAGCCCGGCCTTGGCTCTGGGGGTGTCGGGGCCCCTGCCCTGAGCCTCAGGCCTCCCCTCTGTGGAATGGGCACAAGGGCCCCGCCTCACGGGCGGCCTGGAGGAGCAGCTGTGGCGTGGCCCGCTCACCCTGTGTGTCGGCCTCTGCAGGTGGAAGGCTACGCGGTGGGCTGCGAGTGCTCCCCGGACGGCGACCTGCTGGTGACGGGCAGCGCCGACGGCCGCGTCCTGCTCTACAGCTTCCGCACTGCCAGCCGGGCACGCACGCTGCCGGGGCACGCACAGGCCTGCGTCGGTGCCACCTTCCACCCTGTGCTGCCCTCTGTCCTCGCCACCTGCTCCTGGGAGGGCGACATTAAGATCTGGCACTGAGCTTCCTGGTGCAGAGCCTTCCGGATACCGGCCAGGCCTCAGGCGCCCGTTTGCTCCAGGGGCGGGGGGTGGGGGTGTGTGTGTGAGTAACTGCTGAGGTTGCCTCTGTGACCCGAGCTGGGTAGAAGGGGCCTCTACCACCCTCTGAGCCTCAGTTTCCTTATCTGTAAAGTGGGGACAGAGATGTGTCTGCCTCGGGGCTGTGAGGACTCCGTTAGGTGAAAGCGCCTGGCCGCTTGCTGCCGATGTTCAATAAACATGAGTGTCCTGCTGCTTCTCAGGGTGTTTCAGTGACAAGTATGTGCTGGCAGCTTCGTCGCACCCTCGCAGTCCCGGGCCTTCTGGAGTTGACACAGGACCAGGGGGAGCTTGAGATGGGGCAGCCCTCTCTGCTGACCCTGACGATGGGTGCCTGGGGTCCCACGGGGGCCCCCGGGTCTCAGGCCTGCCCTCAGGAACTCCGCACTGCAGCACGACAGTCCCCGCCGGTGCCATGGGGCCCAGGCTCCCTCCTGTCCCCACCAGGATGGCCCACAGAGTCCCCGCCTAGAGGGAAGGAGGGCTGTTCCTGAGGACCCCTGCCAAGCCGGGCGGTGGGGGGGGGGGGGGGGGAGGGTGGGTCCACCAGACCCTACCAGGGAGGCGGAGGGGCCTCTCCAAGAGCCAAGAACCCAAGGATCCCCTGAACGGCAGGTATCACGTCAGGGGAGGGGCGTCCCTGTGGCCTTGGAGGGCTTCCTGGCAGAAGCAGACAGTGAGCTGGTGAGGCAGGCATCCCCAGCAGAGGACTCGGTGAGGAGGTACAGAGGCCCTGAGGACGGGGCCTGGGGCGGGGGGCCAGCGGAGTAGGAACCACCGGTGCCCAGCTTTGCCTCTCCAGAACCCGGCTTCCAGGCCTGCTCTGCCGTCGGCACAGCTGAGACCTTGGGAGTCATCTCTCCTCTCTGAGTCGGAACCCCCAGCCTGCAGGCTTGCTGTATGGCTCCAAGGAGCCCACATCTGTGCTGGGTGCCAGTACCCCGGGGGTTCCCTTCCCTGGAAGGGTGTCTGGAGCTTGCGGAGGACTCGTGCGTACATGTCTATTTCAGGTGTCTCATGCTCAGGGGGTCCACGAATTGGGTGTTCCGGGCAGAGGAAAGGGCAGTGCAAAGGCCCTGAGGTAGGGCTGATCCTGAGGTCTGACTCCTTTTCAAGCCTTCCTCCCTGTCCCCACTGGCCCACCCTGCATTCAGTGTAGACCCTCCCCACCCTCACCCTTGGGCAGGTAGTGGGTGCTGAGCGGATGCAGCACCTGCTGTAACTGGACTGGGGCTGGGGGGACGCTGAGGCTGAGAGTGGGGGCAGGAGCTGCGGAGATCACGATCTTCTGGTGAAAGACGTGAGCGCCCAGACTCATGCAGGACACGGGGGCCCAGTGACTGCTGCCACGCAGGGTGTGGGCGGAGCTCAGGTTGGGAGCGCCTTCTCTTTTTAGGCTCAGGAATGTCTGGTCTGGTGAAAAGAAAGACAATCACAGCCCACGCTCAGCAGGCCCGTCCCCTGCAGAAGTGGAAACCCCCCACTGGCCTGAGCAGAGCAGTGGGGAGCAGGGGCACGTCCGTTGAGATCCTTGCGCAGGTGACGGACGCGCCTCCCTCACCCCTCGTGTGGCTGCCCGGCGAGCCTCTCACCCACCCTCCTCACCCCCCACCCCTACATGAGTTCCCTGCTCCGTGTGGGAAGCCTGCCCTCCGTCACTTTCTCTGTGAAATGAAGCCTCCCCATATCACCCTCATCCCTGATGGGCTAACGGCTCCGCTGTGCTCCCATGGCATGGTGCCTCAGGGCCTTTGCTCCCGCTGCCCCCTCTGCTGCGTCACTCCTTCCCCGGTGTCCCCCAGCTCCTTGCCTTTCTCCTGCTGTGGGCCTTCAGGGCGCCTTCCTGACCTCTGTGTCTAACGTGTTCTAGTCGTTCTCGGTCCTTTCCCCCGAGTGCTTGGCTCTGTCTGGTGACGTCCCCCCTTCCCCACAACACGGGGCTCCCTGCCTGCTCCCCACGGCACACCTGGGCCCGGCCCACAGCAAGTGTGGCCTGTTGGCAGGACACGGGCTTTGGGGTCAGACGAGTATAGACTTAAACCCTGCCATCGCCTTTCATCGTGTGGCTGCGGACGAGAGCTGAGCCGCCCAGTGCCTCAGTTTCTCCTTCTACGAAAGGAGAATTGGTAGTACCCAGCTTGTGAGGATTAATGAGGCGGGGTCTGGATGGCTGTAGGCAGGGCCTGTATGCAGTAGGTGCTCAGGCAACGGCAGCCGGGAGTGTTAGTATCGGAAATCATGTTAATATCAGTGTCCGCCCACCACTGGGTGCAGGACTGGAGCCAGTTTTGACCAGAGGCTGCAGTTTGGCCCCATTCCCAGGGCTCATCACGGCAGCCCAGGGGCCGCCAGGACCCTCCCAGCCCGCTGGGCCTCGGCCGGGCCAGGCTCCCTCTCCTTGCAGGAGCCCCGGCAGGAGGCCACCTCCTGCCTCTCTTCCCGCTTGACAAGGGTCAAGGAAGGAAAGGGCTCTGATTGGCTGGTTTCTGTCACGCGCCCACGCGGGACCAGGGCCTCTTGGCCAGGCCTAGCCCTCCCCACGGGGCTGGAGGGGAGGGTGGCGGGCCCACAAGTGTGTTCCCGAGGGTGCATTTCCCCAGATCCAGCCTGAACAGGCCCTCTGCACGCGCCTGTCAGAGGAACCAGTGATGGGTGAATGAACCTGGACACAGGCCGAGAGGCGGGGCTGTACTCGTCTGCGGTGCAGGGGGTCTGGGGGGCTCCTGGGGGGCTGGCTTTCCCAGAGCCCCTCTCCTCCTCCGGTGCCCCCCCCCCCGCAGTGCCCACTGTCCAGCCCCTGATCCCGGAGCCCAGATGTCCTCTTTCCAGCACAGCCTGAAGCAGGCGCTCTGCTCCTTCCTTGTGTGGAGTAGCTTCTGGGGGAGGGACTCAGCACAGGGTTTTCTGCTTGCTTTCCCCACTGTGGTATGGTAGTAATGCCACTTTCAATGTTTGTGTGTTTGTTTTGAGAAAGAGAGAGAGCAGGGGAGGGGCAGAGAGAGGAGACAGAGAATCCCAAGCAGGCTCCACAATGCCAGCTCAGAGCCTGACGTGGGGCTCGAACTCATGAATCGTGAGATCATGATCTGAGCCCAAACCAAGAGGGGGACACTTAACCGACTGAGCCACCCGGGCGCCTCTACCACTTTTTTAATATGAGTGTTGTTTACAGACCATATTAAATCAGGCTTCGGTGTGCGTGCCGGCTGTGGCCACAGGGTGACCCCTCTGTCAGCAGCTGCGTGGCCCCCCTCGCGTGCTGAGTGCACAGCCTCACCGTCTGCAGCCCTGTGGGGTTTAGGACCAGGAGACAGACTCGGGCCCCAAGCCCATCACTCACTCGCTTGCCTCAGGCGCTCTGCCTCTCTGAGCCTCAGTGTCGTCATCTATAAAGTGGGCCTGTAGGAACAAGCAGGGGAGAAGATGCCGGGTGAAGGCCTGTAGACTGCTACCCTCTCAACTTCCCTTGGGGCAACCACCACCCGCGTCTCTGTCCGGGGATTCGGTTTCTCTGACCCTCCTGGAGCAGGGGCACGTCCAGGCCCCCCACGAGGGTATTTCTTGGTGCTCCCCTCTGGGGACTTGACCCCTCACCTGCACACCCTGGAGGTGCCAGCTGGCCGCCAGCCGCTCTTGTGTCGGCTTTCACCGGGAAGAACGGCAGGCGTGCTCCGTGCCTTTATCTGTTTCCTTTTCCTAATGCTTTCTTCCAAAGAGCGTCCTTAAAGGCTCACTCTGACCCTGTGCAAGGTGCCGGGGAGTTCATCTTCTGCAACTTTAGAATAAGGGAGCTAAATTTAGCAGCCGTGGAGCAGGGATGAAAACCAAGTGTGGGCTGTCCCCTCCCCCCGCCTTTCTGGGCTGAGTGCCTACCTTCACCCTCACCTACAGATCTGAGCTGCAGATCTGAAGCCTTCGTGGGAGAAGAACGCTGTCTTCTTGCAGTGCCAGTGCGTGGCCGCAACGTTCCAGGTGGAGCGGACACTCGGAGACCGTCCCCCCCCAGGTGGCCTGACTCTGCTATCCAGCCGAGGACACTGCTGCTCAGAGGACTGAGGCCGAAGGCTGTGCCCTTTCCCTGTCATGGAGCCCACCCCCAGCCCAGCCTGCGTCTCCCTGTGCCCTGGGACAGCCGGCTGCCGCGAGGACCCCTGGGAACCCCGTCAACGTCCCTGGCTCCAGAAGAGGAAAGCGGCACGTGGCCAGCGAGCGGCAGAGCCCAGTCCTGCGCCGCCCTGCACTGCGTGGGGCATGTGCCGGGATTGGCAGGGGGGTGTGGGTGTGCAGTGGGGGCCTCCCTGAGGATGGGGTGGGACTCTCCGTGCAGGGGTGCAGGGGGAGGGGGACCACTGGAGGAGGGAGCCCCACACTGTGGCCTGGCTGGCTGCCCGGGAACATGGGGCTAAGGAAGTAGAGGGCGAGGCCCCACCAGGGCCCGGAAGTTCGCATCTAGCAGCACATCCATCCCGGGACAGGACATCCAGAGGGAAACTGGTGGCCCCCGGACCGGACCCTCAAGGAGACGCACTGAGCCATTGCTGGAACTCCACAGCCATCACAAGTCTGTCTTTCCGCAGGCGGCTCCCTTTGCCCGAAATGCCTGATGGGCTCCTGTTCGTCCTGCGGCACCCAGCACGAGCCTCCCCCTGGCTGCCTGCTCTCTCCCTCCTGCAGCAGTATGGCCCTTTGCCTCTCTGGATGGCCCTTGAGCCCAGTGTCAGGCCATCTGCCTCCCCCCAGCCGCTGACCCTTCGTGGGCAGAGCGAGGTCCCTGTGACTACACTACTGGCCCCATTACTAGGAAAAGGGGGGAAGCATCAAGTTCCCACCCGGGGTTCTGAGAGAGGCACTGGCCAGAGCCAGTGCCAAGGCCCGGCGTCGTGATGAGCTGGTTTTGAGCCAGGGGATCTGGAGGGAAACCAAGTTTTCCCAGCTGAGCCCCCAGAAGTGATTTGGGGCTGCTTTGCATGGCATCCCTGCTGGCCCCAGCTCAGGGTGGCGGCAGCCTACCCTGCCACTCAGTCCTGTGATGGAGTTCTAGACCCCCACCCCCGCTCTGTGTGGCCAGGCCAGCTCCCTGGCTCTGAGGCCAAGGAAGTCCTCACCCAGCCCTGAGCAGGGCCCTCTGGGAACTAGACCCCTCGGAGCCCTGGGTGGGGCTGGCGTCGGGGCCATGGCACAACAGCTGGGTAAGACCTAGAGATCCCCATGGGGGGCGCAGGCTCTGCAGCAGTGGTGTGGGGGCTAAAGCGCCGAATCCAAGTGGGCCCTGGGCCCAGGGATCCCCAGCCCGCTGCCCAGGGCCGAGCGCTTCTGAGTCCATAGACCCTGAGGAGCCGGAGCCAGGCAGGGCCCTTACCACTCAGAGGTGGGAACGCCGCCGAGGCCAGAAAGAGGCATGGCACTTGGGGCTGACCAGGCTCGGGGTCCCCTAGGAACACCTCTGCATGGCTGGGGGGTGGCCGGGGGCCACGTGTTTCTCCGTGCACCCTTCCTGCTGCTCCCCAGCTCCTTCAGGGTCGCTTCCTATCTGTGCACAAGGAACCCGTGCCCCAGGGGGGAGCTGACTCCTGAGTCTCTCATGGTCTCCCCAGCTCGAGGAGACTGCTTCCGGGGGCACGTGTCCTGGGGAGGGCAGTGGGCGGGCCCTGGGCTCTCCTGCAGAGGCAGGTCAAGTGCAGGGATGCTGGGAGCCACTGCCGACGACCCCCCTCCTTGGGGTCACTTGGTGAGAGGCAGACCCACCCCCGTTTACACGGAGCTGGGTGGGCCCCAGAACTTCAGAGCCTGTACCCAGACCCGGGAGTGTCCAGGGGAAGGGCCCCCGCCCTTGGAAATGGCAGACATAAAGCCCCGTGAGGAGCGGCCTCCACCCTTGGCCTCGCAGAAACCCACAGGGAGATTCTCAAGGACATCGATGAGCGTGCGTCTGAGGTCACCAGGCTTGTGAGGAAATGAGGCAGCAAGGGCAGGAAATCAGGAGAGAACACACGATGGAAGTGCCAGCCCCAGTCTGAACCAGCTATGCCCACATGTTCAAGGAAATAAAAGGCAAGCTGGAAAATAATCTCCAGGGAATAGGAAACTGTTGACGGAGCAGTGTAGATTTGTAAAACAACCATATAGAACATCCAGGAATAGAAAAAAGAGCGAAGACTCCGAACTCAGTGGCTGTGTTTGGCGGGCAGACAGACAAAGCAGAGACGAGTCAGTGAAACGGAAGACAAACCCCGCGGGCCGAGCTCCGTGGGCCCCAGATGCAGGACCCACAGGAGGGAGGGCGGCACGCATCCGTGTGCGGTGAGAGGGGCTGCCAGGGGCCCCAGGCGGCCCCAGGAGGAGTGAGGAAACAACAAAAAAAAGTTGAGAATTTTCCAGAACTGATGAAATACACCAACCCACGGATACAAGACTCCCTGGGAATCCCCAAGAAGGATAAACCCACAAGCAGACACACCCCGGGGACTGCAGAGAACCACAGCAGGAGGGCAGAGGACCGTCAAAGAACAGCTCCCGGGGGCTGACGGGCATCCCCACAGCCACGGGGGGCAGAGGACGGGGCAAGGCATCTCCATCTCTATGTGCTGGGAGAAGAGAACCCCACTCCCTCCCTCCCCAGTGGGAACACCCTTCAAAATGGGTCAAAACAGAGGCGCCTGGGTGGCTCAGTCAGTTAAGCGACCGACTTTGGCTCAGGTCACCATCTCGCAGTTCGTGGGTTCGAGCCCCGCATCGGGCTCTGTGCTGACAGCTCAGAGCCTAGGGTGGGGCCTGCTTCGGATTCTGTGTCTCCCTCTCTCTCTGGCCCTCCCTCACTTGTGCTGTCTCTCTCGGTCTCTCAAATATAAATGTGAAAAAAAAATTTTTTTTTAATGGGGCAAAACAGACATTTCAGAGAGAGAAGAGGGAGAGACCCGTCCTTGCCGAGCCGCACCAAAGGAAGTCCTAGGGATCTCCAGGCAGAAGCCAAGTCTGGGAGGCAAGAAAGGACAAAGGGGCAGAACCAGGTGGGCGAGTGGATGCCCTAGAAAGGGCCATAAGGGCGCCCAGTGGGCTCGAGACCGGGAGCGCCCAGCCACCGCACAGGATGCTGGGGTGGACGGGGACACCGGGGGAGGGTCACCCAGGGCCGCGCATCCCTGGGGTCAGAAGGCAGCGGGGAGAATAAACCACCTGAGGCCACGTTCTTTCCACTGACGTCTTTTATTAATGAAGGAGAGTACAGTACTAACCGAGACAGGCATGCATCGCAGACGACGGGAGAGCAAGCCACAGAAACTGGGAGTCCGAGGGCCTCATTACGCCTGAGGTAGAGCGAGGTGGTGCCGGGGAGCGGGACGCGGGGGGACAAGCACCGGCCCCACTCGGGACTACGGACCGCGGGAGAGCGGGGGGCGGTGTGGCGGTCACACGGCGAGAACAGCTTAGAAACATCGCGCATCCCCCCACCCATTCCGCCTCCCCTCTTCGTGGACAGAGCTCCGGGCCCCCTGGCCCCTGGCTTGCTGGGGTGCCTCGGCCGGACACCGACCCTCCCTCCCAGGGGCGGGCCCGCTGTCCTCCCCCGAAAAATAAAGGAGCGTTGTGTTGAAAACGCCAAGGCTGCCGTCCAGGGAGCTGGAGGCCAAGTGCGTTAAGAAAGACCCTTTTTCTCTATAAAAATAGTTTCACTTTATAAAAGGGGGGGATGCTCATCTCAGGTGGGGAAGGATGTTGGTGTGTGAAAATCGTTCCACCGCGGTGGGGCTGGTGTGGAGGGATGGTGTGGGAAGGGGTGGGGGGCTCCGCTCAGGCTCAACGGGGTTGGGTTGGCGGGGGCTGGGGAGGGCAGGTGTCTAGGGGAGAGGCGAGCTGTGCCCTCGGGGCCCGGGGACGGGGTGGGGGGCATGGCCCCCGCGGCCGCGGCCTGCGGGCAGGCGCTCAGTTGAGCAAGGTTCCGTAGAGCTGGGCCTTCGTGAGGCTGTCTTTGCGGCTGAGCCCCGAGCCACCAGTCCGCGGGAAGGCCGGCTGGGGGCTGAGCCGGGCGGCGGGGTGCATCTCCGGGGAGGCCTCCATGGAGCTGGGCTCCAAGGAGTCCCTGGAGCTGTGGGGGCTGCGCTCGGGCTCGGGGCTGCCGCCCGCTCCGCACAGCTGCACCCCGAGCCTCTCCGCATCCCCCGGGCTGGGCGCGTAGCCGGGCAGCGGGTCGGCCCCGCGGCCGGGGCTCAGGCTCAGGTCGCCGCCGCCACCACCGCCGCCTGCCCGGAGGAAGCGGGGCTCGGCCAGGTGGCCCTGGGAGAGGTCGTCACCCTCCGAGAAGCTGTCGGCCTTGTAGGTGGCGTAGAGGGGGCTGGCGCGGCCCTCGGCCTTCTTGCCCGGGCTGCCCCCGCCGCTTCCGTAGTAGCGTTCGGAGAAGCTGCAGGGCGAGGCGCGGCCGGCGGCGGGGGCCGGGTAGGAGTAGGCGCCAATGTCCTCCACGCTCAGCGGCCGCCACTGGCCCCGCACGTCCTCCCCAGGGAGCCGGGCCGTTCCCGGCTTGGCCCGCAGGCTCCACAGGTTTGGGGGCATCAGGGCCTGCTGGGGGCCCGGGGAGGCCGGGAAGCGGAAGGACTCGGCGGGGTACGGCGACATGGTCCGCGCAAACCCCGGGGCCACCTCGGCCTCCAGGGGCGCCGCCACGCCGGCTGCGGCCTTGGCGAAGCGCGGGCTGCCCTCGTAGGTGGCAGCCGGCGGCTTGCGGTCGAAGAGCTCGTCGCGGCTGTTCAGGTAGATGGCCTGCTGCGAGGCGGTCAGCGTGCTGGCCTGGGCGTGCTCCTTCTCCTCCGACGTGGCGCTGAAGCTGGAGTAGGAGCTGGATGTGGGCAGCGAGCCCGCGTAGCCCGGGAAGGCCTCGTGCCGGAAGCCCGCGGGGAAGGCGGCCGCCTCGGCCTCCTCCTCCTCCTCGGCCGCGCTGTCGGTGGAGTTCTGGGCCCGCAGGAAGCCCACGTCGCTCACGGGCGCGTCCACGCTGGGCCGCCGGGTGCGCCGCCGCTCCTCGGGGCAGTAGAGGGCCGTGTCGCTGCAGTAGATGTCCCCCTTGTAGGGGGGCCGCGGGCCCGGCTTCTCCCCGCCGTCGCGGAAGGCCAGGTCGCGGGCCGAGGCATCAGACAGGCGGGAGGACAGGCTGGCGGGGTCGGGCTTCTCCAGCACCTTGGCGATGACGCAGGTGGGCACGCTGTCAGCGTAGGCCGGGTGGCAGAGCGGGGCGGGCAGGCCGCAGCCGTGCTCCTCCAGGTGCAGGCTCACGCGCTCCTGGAAGTCGGAGGGCAGCTGGAGCGGGTCAGGTGTGAGAAGGGAGAGCGGGGGCGGAGGGGGCAGTCAGCCCGGCACCTGCAGCCGCGACCGTGAGCAGCAGGCGCACAGACCAAGAGGGACCCGCCCGGGGCTTCTCAGATGGCCCCGGCTAGAGCCGCTTCTCCCAAGGACCCCCGTCACCTCCCCTCCCCGGCCTGCACGAACTGGGCGCCGGCAAGCCTGGAGGGGGCACCCAGGGTCTGAAGCGGGCCCTTCTCGGGGCTGCAGTGCCCCCCCATCTCCTTCCACTGGGGGACTTGCTCTCCCAGCCCCAAGGTCTGTCGGGGGCACCCCTGCCGGGTCTTGAGGCCTCGGACAGACTCAGAAACAGATGCAACACAGATTGAGGGCCGGGGCCAGATGCCCAGCTGCTTCTGCACAAGCACCTGGTGCTGTGTAAGATGTCCTGCTACTGTTTGATCTATTTTGTGAGTGTCTCAGGCATGGCCCAGGCCCGGCGAGGAGGGGTGCAGACCGAGGCCTGGGTGAGGGCAGTGTGTGGAGGTGGGGGCAGCCTGGCGGGGGCGAGGGGCCCGGGGCCAGCTTGGCTTGCGCCCCAGGGAGCCCCGTGGCCTGGGCCGAGCCACTGCCGTGCGAAGCCAGCTTTCTCCTGTCTGCAGTGTGCACGGGGCTTCTGTGAGGCTCACACAGGGCCCCTCCGCCCCCACCACACTCAGCAGACGGGGTCTTGGAGCAGGGCCAGTGAGCAGCCCCCAGAGGAAAGCAAGGGGAATGGGAAGGCTGTCCGACTGGGAGAGGAGGTGTGTGCAGGGGCGTCAGGGAGGGGGCAGCCCTTCCACCATCTTCAGAAAGGCCTGGATACTTGCAAGAGCGAGGAGGGACGGGGAGGCCAGGCTCACCTCCGTCAAGGGCGAGAAGCGGCCTTGGGGCGGGGCCTGTAGGAAAGGAGCCCCGAGTGGCCCTGGGGGCGAGGGTGGCCTGGCGGGGGCGGGGCTCACGTTACCTCTGACACCTTGTGGACCCTGCCGTACGTCTGGCTGCACTGTAGCAGCTGGGCCGCTAGATTGCAGTCCTTCCTATAGAGCGCCTACAAGACAAGAGAAGGCGTTTGGTGCGGGCTCGCCCCTTGCCAAGGCCCCTGCCAACGGTGGCCGCCCGGAGACCAGGGAGGGGGTGGGGAGGGGGGCGGCTGCGCCGCTGTCAGGACAGGAGCCCTCTCTGGGCCGCCCGCCCTCGCCTGCAGCACGGGGGCCTCGGTCCTGACCTGGAACTGCGGGGGCAGGGAGGGGGCCCTGCGGGGCAGGATGGAACCTCCCACGAGGCGGGGGGCAGCGGTGGAGGGAGGGCCCTGAGAGTTCAGGGGCCTCCGTGCTCCCCCAACCGGGTAGAGTGCGGGCACGGAATGGTAAGGAGTATGCCCACGGCCCCTGCCTCCCGTGTGTCACATTTGCTCCCCGCCCCCCCATCCTGAAAGTGTGGCCTGCTTCCAGGGGTGACTGCAGGGGCGGGTGAGGGTCAGGGCGGGCAGGGGCAGAGGGCCTGTGCGCCCCAGGGTCCGGCTCAGCCTCCGGAGCTGAAAACAGATGCAAACAGTAGGACTCGGAGGGATCTGGTTTCGTCTTCGGTAAATCTCTGTTGCATGTGCCTGTGTTGGGTCTTTTACTCCTGCCCCCACCCGGGGACCCTCCGCAGGGAGGGCTCTGACAGGGAGGGACCTGGGGTCCCCCCAATAGGCCCTCTCGGACCCGCCAGCTCCCACAGTCCCTGCTCAGCCAGCACCAGGTGCCCTGTGGCTCAGACAAGCTGCCGGAGGCATGGGCACCGCTGCCAGCCCCCACCCGGATCCTGGAGGTTGCCCCACCCCCACCATCCGGGCAGAGGCTCATGTCCCCAGTGCAGACCGCAAAGCGGAGAGAACCTGGGTCCCCAGGCTCCTCACTGCCTCCTCGAGCCCCTCTGGGAAGGGCACAGTCAGCTGAGAGCTGAGAACCGACCCCTCCGTGAGGTCCCTGGGCTCAGAGGGCTGTGGGCGCTGCCCGGGCCGGCCCAGATCTCTCCCGCATCACCCACAGACTCCGAGGGCGGCCCTGCACTCATCTGCCTGCACTCCCAGGCCATCCCGCCCCACCTGTGGCTTTAAGCGGCAGGTACATGCTGATCTCTGTCATCAACCCCAGACCCTGCCATCTGGCTGCCGTCCAGGGCCTCCTCCGGCCCCAGATGAAGAACCTTCAATGGCTCCCTACTTCATTTCAAATAAAACCCAGACTCCTAGAGGAAGGAGCCTCCAATGTGGCCTCCCGTTCCCTTTCCGACCTCAGACCCTGGGCCCCTCCCTGCCCCCGGGAGCCCCCTCTGCCGTTCCTGCAGTTATCCGGACCCACCTCTGCCATTCTGGTTCTTTCTGCCAGAAAGAATGCTCTTCCCCTAGGTGCCCGTGGCCGGCTCTGTGGCCTTTCTCAGGTCTTGATGGACCAGACTCTTCGAGAAGCACCCTAACGACTCCCCAGCCCCGTGGCCTGCGTTACCTCCCCTGCGGCACTCGGCACTTCGCACACCCCGCTCGGTTGGCAGATCTGTCTTCCCCACTCAGGGGTAAACCCCATGTGGGCAGGGAGGGTTTTTTTTTTTGCCTGTGTCATTCACACCATATTCTTGGAGCCTGGGAGGGCCTGGCAAGAGGCAGCCACTCATCAGTGAACGTGTGCGCCGCTGTCAGGCGTCCCGGGAGCGTGTCTGGGCCCATCGCCTGGTGCCCGTGAAATCAGGGCGGCCACACGGCTCTGATTCCCCCCGGGTTGGCCGGGGCCGGAGTCCTAAGTGAGCGTGCCCCAAACCGGGCTCAGGCAGCACCACCCCGAACAGGATAACACGGCCCCGTGGTCGCTACCGCCGGCCCCGTTTCCTTCCAGCAGAGGGTCCTCCCGGATGCCCCGGACAGTGTGTGTCTGGTGAGGCGGCCCGCCCTTCCCCCACCGCCCAGGTCCTCCACCTCCCCCGTGCCAGCCCCTCAAGCCTGGAGGCCACAGCGCGGGGGCCTGGGCCCCTGGGGTCACAGTGGCCCGACACTCACATTGTCCTCCGACAGCTTATCGATGGTCACCTTGGCCTCCAGCAGGTGGCTGTTGAGGGCAACGATCTCGTGGCTCAGCGCACGCTTCTCTTCCTCATAGTGCTGGCCCTGGGGCGAGCGGCGGGTCGGGGGTGGGGTGCCGGAAGGAGCCGCTCAGCGGTCGGCCGGAGGCCAGAGCCTCAAGCCCACCGGCCTCCCGGTGCCCTCTTGCAGTCAACAGTGTGAGGTGTTTGCAAGCCCAAAGAAGGTGGGGGTAAGAACACAGACCACCAGGTTCAAATCCACCTGTGCTCCACCAGCAGCAAGCTAGATGGCCTCGGGCGAGAGTCCCTGCCTCCCCGAGCCTCCTGCCCATCTCACCAAGGGGACAGGAAGGCCCTGCTTCCTGGGAGTCTGCGGTGAGGACGGCTCGCGCTCCGCACAAAGCCTGGCCCCTGTCCCGCCCTCCCCTCCTGGAACCTGTCCAGTATCAGCCTCCGGCTGAGGCTCGGAAAGGCAAGGGCCCTCGTCCAGGGCCCGTAGGAGAGCCGGCCCTGCCCCCAGGCCTGCCCGCGCCTGACCCCCCCCGTTTGTGACTTGCAGAAACAAAACGAGCTTGGAACCAGACAAGTAACAGAGGCAGCTCTTATCCGAGGGAGGGGAGCCGCCCGAACTCGCCTGGCCCTCCGTGACGCCAGCCCCACCAGACCCAGAGGCTTCCGCCACCGTCCCTACTCCTCCTAACTGGGGTGCTGGGGCCGGGCACCGTCTCCTTTATTCCTCACAGTACGATGGGGGGTCCCCATGAGGGCACAGTCGGGCTCAAACATCCTTCTGGCTCTCGCAGGCCTCTCCCCCCGGGTCTGGTCTCCGGGCCGAGCCCTAAAGCAGGGTCACCGTCCCCGGTGCGTGTCCTCTGTCCCCCAGCCCCACTTCACACCTCCAGGTAGGCACGGGGCAGCGGGGGACCCTGTGACTTGCTAGTCCTGAGAGCACTGGCCCCCCATTCACTGCAGAGAGGGGTGGGGTGGGCCCAGCCCTGGCGGGGTGGGGAGGGAAGGGGAAGGGGAGGAAACAAGCCCCGGACCCAGCTCCCGACCCAGCTCCCCAGCTCCGTGCAGGCAAGGGGCGGGGCGGTGGCCTCACCATGCGGTACAGCTTGTCTTCCAGCTCCTGGTTGATTCGCTGCAGCGCCAGGTAATTGCTCTGGATCCTGGAACAGGAGGCAGTGGGGTCACCGCTGTGGCATATGCCCCGCCGGCAGGTGACCACACGCCCGCTGAGCAGGCCGGCCCCCCAGCCCCCCACCTGCCCCACCCTGGTCTACTGGCTCCTCTCCACGCAGCAAAAAGCATCTGATTAGAGCTAGCTTGTAGAGGCCTTTCCGGGGCCAGGGTCGAGGACCCCCTGCAGGCGAGAAGGGAAGGCCTGTACTCACAAGTGACTTTGTCCGGTCCTTGCTGGGAGCCAGTTTACTCACATTTAAACACGATTCTTGCAAGCCTGGCTAAGGGATTTACATTCAACAGCAGGTTAGCGGGGAAGAGACACGCCTGGCCACTCCACGGGCCCTGGACTGAGCGCCAGAGACGCGCCTTGGCTAAAACAAGCCCCCCCGCCCCCCCGGAGGAGGCGGCGCAGGAGGAGGCAGGCGCGGCTGTTGGGTGGGAATCCGGTGCTCTGGGCCACTCAAGGGAACGGTCCCAAAACACTGGCTCGTGTCCTTTCCCTAGCAGAGACCCAGGGGACGGTGGCTGGGGCCCTGGTGGGCCCGGAGGGGTCTGGAGAGGGCTGCGTGTGACAGGCTGCTACCCCACCAAGAATATGAGAAGGAAGGAGCAGAGGGCGGAGGGGCGCCTGGGAAGGGCCTGTCCTGGCAGTAGCTAGACCCGGGTCAAGTCCTGACTCGGTGGCTCTGGGCCTCCGGTTCCACCTCCGTGAATGGGGTCAACAGCTCAGGAGGGGGCGGGGCTCCTCTGACTGCGGCCCCCGGACCCCCCCCCGCCCAGCCCCGTACCTGCGCAGCTTCTCCGTGACCTTCTCCAGCTCCTCCTGCGCGCGCCGCAGCTCGATCTCCAGGTAGTGGCGCGTGGAGTCGAACTCGGTCTCGAGCTTTTCGAGCTTGTGCGTGGTGTAGGACAGCCGCTTGCGCAGCTCGCCCTTCTGCTCCTGCAGCGCGCTGCAACGACACGCGGCCGCGGGCCACACGCGAGTGCGCACGCGCCAGGCCCTCCCCGAGCGGCCAGCCCCTCGGCCACACGCGAGTGCGCACGCGCCAGGCCCTCCCCGGGCGGCCAGCCCCTCGGGGGCCCCTCTGCCACAAGCGAAGTCCCGGGAGGTCGCCCTGGAGGAGGGAGGCCCACCCCTGCACCTGGCGAGTGTTTGGGGCGGCGAACGGACCCCGGTTTGAGGAGCGCTCACCGGCCCCCAGGGCTCTCCGGCTCAGAGCCCACCTCTGGACGGCACAGCTCGCAGGGTCGCCCATTCTGCCCCTCCACTGCCCCGGGTGGGGAAGCCCTGAGGTCCAGTGCCACACCGCACACCAGGCCTCCCTACCCCAAACTGGCCTGGGAGAGGATGGGCTGTGAGCCCAGGTCTCCACCAGTGGCCAGCCAGCTGTGCCCAGCGGTGGACACTCTGCAAAGCCCTGGCCTGCGCAAGTCCCCTTCCTCCAGGAAGCCTTCCAGAGCCTCAGCCCCAGTCCTTGAGGCTCTATTTTCTGCACAGACTTCGTGGGCTCCCCTAGTTCGCCAGGCCGCCAAGCCCCCAGCCCCAGGAAAGGGAGACGCGGGATAATCGCCCATGGACCGCACGCGTCAATTCTACATTTGGGCAAAAGGCGGGGGAGTGGCTGTGAGCTCCACCAGGGCAGGGGCCACACCCCGCTGTGGGCAGCCACCCAGCACCAGCGCCTGTAGGTACTCCTGAACACACACTGGCCTGGGGCACGCTTCCCTTTACAGGCTGGGCACCCGGAAGGGGGCAGCTGGCTCAAAGTCCTCGTCTTTAATCGTGGGGTCAACAGGGCAGCCTCCCTGCGGGCGAGGGGCTGCTGCAGGTGGGTGCGGGCACCGGGTGCGTTCTGCTGGCACTTCGCCTGAGCAGAGCTAAGACCCCAGAGCTGCTCGGTGCTCTGGCCGCGCACTTCCTTTCCCCTGTCACCCCCTTGGACTTCAATACCAAGGAAGCCCGGAGTGGAGCGGCCCATAGGTGAAGTCTGCCGGCGTCCCAGTGCGGGCGGGGCCTCTGCCTGCCACGGACTTGATGCTGGTCCTCCGGCCCCACGGGACCCCAGGCTGCCGCTGTCCTTCCATTCGGGCCTCAGCTGCCCCCCTGGAAAGAGGGGACTGCCCCCCTCTTTCCCTGTGGACACAAAGCCCTGCTCCGAAAATTCTGCCATAGAGGTGCCCGGGTCTGAGGCTTGCCCTGACAGGGGCACACCCGCATGGGACAATCTGGGGCCAACAGCCTTTTGAATGACAACTTCCAGTGGGTCTACTGTGGGGCCGGGAAGAGGGGACCGCACTGCCGCTCCAGACCGCTGCACTGGGACCGGAGGGGGTCCCCGGTGTGACCCTGCAAACCAGGGGCGGGAGCTCTGACCCTGCCCGGGTGTTCCTGCAGCCTCGGGCGGACCTCCGACACCCAGACCCAAGTGAGGGGACCTGGGGGCGGGCAGTTCCTCCAGCAGCCTCGGGCCCTGTGTCGCAGCCGCTCATGTTTCCACGGGCGCACGCCCAGCAAATCCCGATGAAACATTCCTGGATTCCCGCCCAGGTCTACAGTGTTTTAAATAAATAAGAATAAAGAGCTGCTTATGTTTTGAGAACCTCAGAGGAGGGTGGGGCCAGGCCCTCATAAGGGTCAGTCTCCAGGGAGGATGCGGAGTGTCAGTCAGAAGGAGCCCTGAGCACAGTGCCCGCGGCTGCCCGTGCAAGTCTAGCCACCTCCTCCAGGCAGCATGCCTGACTGCACCACCCCGAGCACCCTGCAGCTACAGATCCCAGACCGTGCTCGGCCCCTGCCCCAGCCTCTCTCCCCAGTGGGGTGGCGGGCTTCCGGGGGACCCTCCCATGGCAGCCAGGCCCCCTGCAGGCACAGTGTCGGGGAGGGGTGGGGCAGTAGCCCCTGAAATCAGCTGCCCTGGGTGGGGCTGGGGTGGGGGGAGCTGCCGATCTACCCACAGCCCTCTGTCACAGGGTTCGGGTGGGGTCCGCACCCTCGGGAAGAGCTGAGAGCACTGTCCGTCCACGCCTGACCCCTTCCCTGCAGCAGCGGGCAGGACAAACCCCACGGAGCCCATAGTCTGGAGAGAGGCACACGGTGAACACGGAACAGGCTCCTCAGCGAGGCACGTGGGCGACAGGACTGTGACGTGGGCCCCTGCCGAGGGCCCCCCTCCACCAGGCAACCCCCCCGAGCTGGCCCGCCTGCCCCGCTTCACCCCGGCACCCGCCAGCCTTGCAGATCTGCTGGGGCGGCTCTGGCCCCCTGGCCCCCACATACCCCTACCCACCCCAGAGCCTTCCCCGGGCCAAGTCCCGGTCCCCCAGTGTCCCCAGCCCCTGACTCTCGCCCCTCCTTGCCCCACCCCGGACACACTTGTGACCTGAAGTCACAGCAGACACGGGGGCGGGCCACGGGAGCCCACCTCACCTGTCCCCGCACCCCTGCCGCTCCGCCTGTCGAGTCTGCACACAACTTGGCTTTGCCCAGGCTGATGGTCAGGTCCCCGGTCAGCACCCCGCCCCTCCCTGCACACTGCAGGCCGAACCCCTTCCCCCCAGGCCACGCAGGGAGCTCCCTTGCCCCTTGCTTCCGTCTCCAGCCCAGGCCTCTCTCTGCTCCATCGCCCCACGTCCAGCCGTCCACTGGCCTCTCCACCCTGTGGCCCCCCTCACACGCAGGGCGTTCAATGCTGACCCGCCCCCCCCGCCCTCTGCGCTCCCCACCCGGGAGAAAGGCATAGCCACCCTCAGTCCCCCAGTCAGACTCCAAGAGGCCACAGGGACCCCCTCCTCGCCCCTCGCCCCTCAAAGCTGGTCACCAAGTCCCGGTGATGAGCTACTCGGAAGCTTTGGGCATGTCCCCTCCTCAGCCTGGTCCAAGAAGGTGCTGGGCGGGGCGTGCTGGGGTCTGGGCACCATCGCTGCCAATGCCTCCCCCTCCCCTTGGGGCACTGACCCGAGCCCTGCCTGGCCCCCGCCTCAGTCTCCACGTCTGTGATGCAGGCATGTGTGCACCCGCACAAGGGGCACCAGGGCTGTCACGGTGGTCCTCGCGCGCTACCCCGGGCCATCGGAAGCAGCAGGAGACGGTGCCAGGGACGAGTACCGTGTGTGGGGGGGCTTCCAGGCTACTGGAAAGCTGGGGGCCCCAGGGGAACTTGGGGGGCTGCTGGGGGCCCCGGGGGAATCTGGGGGATTGCTGGGGGCCCTGGGAAAACCTGGGGGGGGTTTGCTGGGGGCCTCAGAGGGGAACCTGGGGGGTTGCTGGGGGCCCCAGGAAAACCTGGGTGGTTGCTGGGGGACCCGGGGGAAACTGGGGGGGTTGCCAGGGGCCCCGGGGGAATCTGAGGGGTTGCTCAGGGCCCCTGAGGAATCTGGGGGCTTGCTGGGGGCCCAGGTTCAGTGGCCTCTGCTTCCCCCTGAGCAGAAAGCTGGTTTAGGAGGCCCTGGCGTCTAGAAGCAGCCCCTCAGCAGGTGCACAGGGAGGGTGTGGAAGCCCTTTGTGACCAGACCGGCCAGTGCTGTGACCCCGGGTAAGGGCCACTCTCCCTAGGCTGGGAGCTCAGAAAACCCTATTCAGACAGGAGCCTGGTGAGGTCGCCCCGCTCTGACCGGCATGTCGGTGAACTGAATCAGGGCACGCACCTGACCGGACAGGGTGTGGCGGGTGAGTGGGGTTCCTGCCCCCCTCCCCCTGGCCCACGGGAGGTCCGGAAGTGCCTTCTGGCCTCGCAGGGAGGAGTGATGAGCTCGGTGCAGTCCCCACCCGCCTTCCACCGGGAGCCCTTCCTGGACACTCGGGGGAGGCCTGAGCCCAAGGATGGAGCGCTCAGCTGGGGCCGGGGGCGTGGGATGCGGGGACTCGGGGTGTCGCCTCTAAGACGGGTGGCCTGGGACAGTGTGGTGAGGACGTGCTGGTTCCCCTTCTGCCTGGGGCGCGCGGACGCAGACACGGGAGGGATGTCTGGGGACAGACGCAGAGACACCGAGGAGCCGGGGAGACAACAGGTGTGTTACCTGTCCCAGAGCGAGGCCGAGGGCCTGGCCAGCCGGCCCTGCAGGATGCGGGGCTGCCCGAGGCACGAAGGCACCCAGGGGCTGCGCAGCCTGTGGGCGAAGAGGACAGAGCCACTCAGCGTGGGGGTGGGGCCACGCCAGGCCCCCTGTGGGCACAGACACGGAGCTGTGGGCCCGCCCCCCACCCCACCGGGCAGGAAAACTCCTCAGTATCAGCAAGGTGTCAGGGAGGGGCTGTGGGGACGGGCGGGCGTGGGGGCTGCCGGCCCCCCCCGCCTGAGCTCGGCGGTGGCCCTGTGTCCTACCAGTGGTGGGGTCCCCACCCGCAAGCCTGCCTCAGGGTCTCGGCTTCAGAGAGTCACGGGGGGCAGGCAGGGTGCCTGCGGTTCTGGGCTCCCGCCGGGCGGGACCCACTGGCTGGAGATCCCCGGAGACAAGGACAGAGGAGGGACAGTGTGATGCGCTCCTGTGTACAGACGGAGGGGGGGCATCTCGGGGGCTGAGGGACCTGGCAGAAGTTGGGGGTCCAGAGCAGGGCCCCCCTCACCCTCCCTGGGACCCCTTCTCACCCCACTCTGCCTCTGTCTGGACCCAGCAGCAGGTGGGCCGGAGGGGATCAGAATCTGCCGGGCGGCTGGGAGAGGGGCCCTGGTCCGCCTGGCCTGCTAGGGGCCACCCGGCTGGGGGCCACGCGATATTCACCAGAGCCCCTCCCTCCCCCCACCTGTCATGCTCTGGTGGCCTTGACGGCCCCAGAGCCAAAGCAGAGATCTGAGAAAAGGAAGCAGCCCCAGAATCAGGCTTCCAAACAAAATGTTTAGAGACGCGGGTGTTAAGCGAAAGAGCAGCATAATCCCATTTAAAAATATCTGTATACCAACAGCCTCGGAAAGTAAGGTAGGAAATGAAATGTTAACGTTGTTATAGGTGGGTGGTGGGATTCTGGGTAATTCGGAATTTTTCTCCTAACAGTTTCCTAGATTTATAGTGAGGATGGAAAAGCAGAGAAAGATTTACGAAGGATAAAATTTTGCAAGGATTTTAAACGCGGACTCGATGGGCTGAGGTGGAAGGAAGGGAAGCTCACAGCCCCGGGCTGTGTGCTGTGCACGGGTCACCACCTCCATAAGCCCCTGTTTCCTCATCTGTCGGATGGGCTGCCCTTGGCCCTGGGGCCCCAGCCCGCTGCAGAGGAGGGGCGGTGGGCGGGGCATGGGCTTGGTGTCAGGGTGGACTCGACTTTGAAATTGCAGCCCCGGCCTCTGCTCTTGGCCAATGACCCTGTGCTACTGAGCGAACAGAGCGGGGGCAGTGGGGGCAGCACCCTAGGGAGCACCCAGAATCTTCTGGTCTGCCCTGGGTGCCTCGACTGAGCCCAGCAAATCCACGGGGGGCTCCTCGCAGGGGAGTTTTCAGAGGAGTAGAGGGAGGCTGGAGCCTGGGGGAAACCAAGGCCCAGAGAGCAGGGGGCGTGGCTGTGACCTGACCCAGACTCTGCCTCTGGTCACGCCCAAGGCATTTTTTGCTGACAAGCCACTCTTGTTCCGACACAACTGCCCATTTGAGGCCTGTGGCCGACGAGTGCCCCCTTCCTAGAGTTGAGAAAATGGGAGTCCAGAGAGGCTGAGCAACTCTCCCAAGATGGCACAGCCGGCATGGCAGAGCCTCGGCCCGGGGAAGGGCCAGACACGGCGTCGCGCCTAGCCGGCACATGAGGCCGCCTTCCCGCCCTTGCTGGCAGAAGGGCCCGGGGCCCGCTGGGCGGACAGATGGACGGAGCTGGCCTGGCGGCCCTCACGGATGCCGTGTCCCCACGGGGGGAAGAGCCGCTCCCTGTCCCCGTGTGTCTCTCAAGATGAGATGGGCCTGGGGGGCAACCTGGGCCCTGGGGGTGCTGGCCGGGGCAGGATGTTAGCAGGTGGCTGACTGGCCTGGGCACCTGGTGCTCTGGGCGGGGCACGGCCGTCACCCCCATCATACAGATGCCGGTGGCTGCGGCCACAGGTCCAGAGTGGAGGGAGGGGACGAAGGGGGCCAGGGCCACGCCCGGCCACACGGGAGCCCAGCACACCAGGCCCCCTTCCTCCTCCCCATTTGCCGGACTCCCCCCGAGGTGGCCACGCTCGCAGCCACACCCCGGCAGCTGCCCGCTGAACGCCCTCGCTTCCCTCCCTGAGTCCCCAGGTCTGTTCTCTCTTGTGGGGCTTTCTCTGTGCAGACGCGACCTCTTCTGGGAAGCCTTTCTTCGTTCCTTCTCGAAGAAGGTTCCGTCTCTCTCCTCACCTGCCACTCAGGCTGAGATTGCCTCCAGATGCCCTCCGCTGTCACTCAGGGCCACCTGGGACCCCGGCCCGGGCTGTCTGCCCTCTCTGTTCCCCTTGATGTCCATGGCACCGAGTGCTGAGCCAGGCATGGGGGGTGGGAAGGGAAAGGCGGGGGGGGGGAAGGGAGAGGCGGGGGAGGGGCACAAGGGCTCCGGGAGCTCTGGGTGCTGGGGGAAAACCCTCCCCTGCTCAGCGGTGCTGACAAGGTCAGGTGCGCCCTGGTGGGCCCGCGGCACCCCCCTCCGTGGGCTGAGGTCCATGGTGCTGAAGTGGGGCTGGGCGGAGGCTGACGGAGGGCGCTGTGGCTGCATGAGTCACAGCCTTGCCGGCTCCCAGATGCCGCGAGCCTTTGGGTCCCTGTGTCCCCGCAGCGCCCCTCCCCACCCCCCCAGGACAGCCTGTCTTCTGGGCTCGGAGTGTTCAGGCCCCACCCGACAGTCACGCTCCGGCAGCGCCAGGCCGCTCACATGCTGCAGGAGCTTCTCGTCTTGGTGACTTTGTCCCCGGATCCCCTCTGCCAGGATCGCACTGACTCCCTCCTGCTCTGGTTTAACTCCTCCACACCCGGGGCCCGGCGGTGGGGACCCCGACACCCTGGCCACCCCAGCTGGCCCCGGCATGGATCAGTCACCACCCAGCACCCAGCCCGGGTGTTACAGGGGACGAGTCGGCCCCCTGCGTGTCTCTGAGCAAGGGTGCCTGGGGCTCTCGCTCCCCGCCTGCCCCCTGTGTGCCCACCTCCCCGCTGCAGCCAGATGGCTCAGCAGGAAACCTGGCTGCACCCGGCACCGCCTCTGGTCAAAATTCCCCATGACTGCACCCCAAGTCCCTGCCCCCCAGGACGCACCCCTGCCTGGTCCCTCACTCCTCTGGCCAAGCATCAGCCAGAGCCCCTTCCTTCCTGCCTCAGGGCCTTCGTCCTTGCTGGTCCCTCGGGCAGGGACATTCTCTCTTTCCAAGCCCGCCCCTCCTCTCCCCTGCACCCTGGGACAGCCTGCCCTCCCTGCTCTGTCTGGTTCTGGTTACCAGCCGGCCGGCCTGTGGGACCAGCGTCCCTTGCTCCCCTACCGGCTTTAGCGCCCAGCCCAGCCCTTTCCCACAGAGGCCTTGCGCCCGTGTGTGAAACTCGGGGTGTCCCGCATGGACCCCGGGGCGGGTCCCTGAAGGAGGCTTTGTGCCATGTGCCTTTCACAGGAGAAGCTGGAGATGGTGCCCCTGGGACCCCAGAGTCCCCTCTCCCACATCTGGGACCCTGTGTGCCCAGCCTGTGCCCACGCTCAACAGCCACCACTTTTCTGCCTGTCACAGAAGAGCCTTTCCTCTGTTCCCCTTGACCTCGATGGTCGCCTTGCCAATTCCACCCTCCCTGTCCCAGGGGGACCCCACTCTGGCTGGGGCGGCCGGCACCCCCAGAGCCTCGAGGGCCCGCCCTGCCCCAGGTGCACGCACAAACCTGTCCATCTCGTCCCAGACCCCCCCTCAGACTGTAAGGGAGGTGTGCACCGCGCCCCTTTTACAGACGGGGAAACAGATTCATGAGAGGCACAGGGTACCTCTGCGGTCACACAGCCATGCTGGGGTTCAACGCCAGGCCAACTGCTCTTGCCCCAAGCTTGAGATGACAGACTTTAATGCAAACTGCAGAACTCTATATTTTTCATTGAATCACCTCCCCTCCGGCGTGACCACGACTGGGCACAGCCGTCCCCCCGTGAGGGCCTGGGAGGGCCGACCGTGGCCAGCCTGATGGAGGCGGGAGCTGGAGCCCAAGAGGTGAGGCGACCTGAGCAGGTCAAGGGCAGGTGGGTGGGCCTGGAGCCCCACGGGGCAGGCCATCTGGCCTCCTCTTGGGTCCTTGACCTCTCCCCGGAGGAAGAGAGTTCGGGCACTCTGACCGCCCAGCCCCCAGGCGGCCCAAAGCTGACCTCTGCAGCAAGGTCAGCAGCAGCACCACGGGCAAGGAGACGGGGACCCTAGGCCAGGCTGTCACCACGGCCACCAAGCTGTTGTGCAAAAGTCCTGGGGAAGGTCACGTGTTCAGGTGCCTGGGGGCGCCGAAGCATGCGTTCTGGGAAGGGACTGTCACTGCACTGAGCTGGGGGCCCCCGGCCAGGCGGGGTCACTGACTCAAGCTAGGAGGGGTAGGGACTCCTGGAGCTCAACACCTGCCCGGTCCTACTGTCTGCTGGGTCCTCGACCAAGGTCATCTAGTGGAACCGTCCTCCCTGCTTCCCCGTGGCCCTGGGGACGTGGCCGTGCCACTGCTCTCTCCTGCCCGGAGTCGGAGACGAGGCAGAACGCTCGGCCTCCTCACGTTATCAGGTGGCTGCAGCCCTGTCCTGCCCCCTCCCTCTGCCAGGGCAGAGCCACGTGCTGGGAGCGGGCAGCCCTGTGGCCTAGTGAACCCCTGCCGGCTGGGCAGACCCAGGGGTGCCCAGGGCTGGGGCCCGCCGGGTGACCCGCCGGGCAAGGGCACAGAGCAGCTGCAGGGTCACCCCTGAGCCTTTGTGTCTGCTGCCCTTCCTGCTCAGCACATCCCTTCCCTGCTCTTTGGTTCAGTCTATTCACCTCCTCCAGGAAGCCCTCCTGGACACTGGGTCAGAAGCCCTCTTCGCTATCCTGTTCTCAGCCTTCCATGCAGGGGGTGTTGTTGGGGTCCAGGGGCTGAGTCTGCCCCTCCTCCTCAGGGTTCCAGAGCCTGGTGCGGGGCCTGGTGCAAGGCAGGGCCCAATGGCCACATGCTGCAGATGTCCATGGCCTCCAGGC